AATCCTACACCCTGGATTAAAGTACATCTTTCTCTCAAGCAAGTACGAAAATATGGTTTCACAAACATTTCCATCCCCGTAAGATAATAACAACTGACTCTCTTAACAAAATTTACCTGAATGTTGGAAGGTTATACGTTTCTGTGAGACTTGTACATAAACAGTAAAATACTATAATCAACCAAATCATAGAATTTCAAAATTTTCAATTTTCAAAATAATGTATTTGACTGATGGTTGTAATCTTTTTTAGTGATAATTCTTACGGCTCTTTTTCTGTAAAACAAAAATCAGATTTGTAATCGTTTTGCAAGCTTTACCCCAGACTTCAATACAGTAAATTAAATGTGGAAAAATTATTGAATTGTACAACACAAGCAGAGCTTTGTCAATGAATAACTCCCTGACTTTATACAGTACTCTAATAGATTTAGATATTTTTGTTTTTAAATAATGTATGTGAGGTCTCTGTGTCAGCTTGTCATCAATGATGACACCCAGACATTTTCACCTCACTGACTTTACAGATCTAAATGAGAAATCAACAGTTACCTTCCTGTTACTAAATATCATGTAATTTGTTTTATCCAAATTTGATGATAATTTGTTTTATTGAAACAAATTTTGTATGTTCTCAAATTCTTTCTGTGCCATCTCAAACATTTTTTCTATATCTTTACCTAAACAAAAAAATGTTGTATCGTCAGCAAATAAAACACATTTGAAAAGTCCTGACACATTTACTAAGTCATTCATATATAAAATGAATAACTTAGGTTCCAGTACAGAGCCCTGAGGGACTCCACAAGTGATATTACCAAGTTTAGATTTTACACCATTTATCTGTACAAACTGTTTCCTATCTTTTGAATAACTAGATACCCATTGTGGTGCCGACCCTCTAACATATTTGCTTAATTTTTCAAGAAGAATATTGTGATCAATTGTGTCGAATGTTTTCTTTAAATCTAATAAATACTAACACAGTACTGTTTTTGATTGATAGCAGTGGTTTTTTGTTCCATAAATTCTATAATAGCCATTGATGTGGAGTTTTTAGCTCTAAACCCATACTGACTACTACTTAAGATATTGTGTTTTCCGATAAATTGATCCAATCTGGTGACAATTTCTCTAAAATTTTAGAAAACTGTGGTAACAATGATATWGGTTTGTAATTGTCGAACACGTTTATCACCATTTTTAAAAAGAGGACTTACCTTGGCTGTTTTCATATTGTCCGGAAATGTACCAGTTGAAAATGTTAAAGTACAGATATGTGTAAATGGTTCAATCACATAATTCATTGTATCTTTTACAAGCATCATGTTCACCTGGTACTAAGTGAAACAATGAATTTAAAAAAACAGGATGCKTATTGATGCCTCACATGTAAGTCCACGGTGACAGAGACATGTCAGCGAGGTTCGAAGCAGCTTTGTTGTAGGACTTCACTGAAGTATCCAGAATCAGTCTCACAGTCCTCCCCCTCAGTCCTGGTCCCTGCACTGAGACCCCTCGGGTTTTCTTGGTGGCATCCAGCAGGGAGACAAGACCCAGCAACAGAAAAACTCTCCTTACCTAAAGAAAGAAACAGAAGCAACCTGAGACGGTCCACCATCTGTTCACCATTTCCTTTAGTTTTYAGATCCGATGCTGAGCTGGCTGAATTTGAAATGACTAAATCATACMTGTTAAAGCACCATGTTATATTTAATTAATGGACTTTTATCAGTAATGATACAGAATGATACATTTGAATGCAACTTTCAGTTTGAAGATAAGCTTAAGGTCAAAATTCTTCTCCCACACAAACCTCTYGTGCAAATAAACTACAACAAAAACATTAAACTACGTCATAAAAGTTTTCATAAGTCTGAAATAATATTATGGTGACTGATAGGAATCTGACTCACCAGTCTCATGACTGTTTCTCTTTCAGCTTCTGCTGTGTTTATTCCACAGAAGTGTTTATAGGCAGCCCCCCCCCCCAACATGTGCAGTGCATTTCCGTCATGCCTTTTTTAAAGAGATGCAACTTTTTGACCTCTTTTTTTTATGTTGTTTGCATTTTTTTCCCTTTATCTCTCTTAACTCTGCCCCTGAAGCTGCAGGTTTCTTCTGAAAAGTTCCCCCAGTGTGAGATATCAAAAGGTGACACCCTCATGAACCTGTCCAAAAGTGTGAACGTTTTATCACCTTTTTTTTTTTCAATTCACTTCCTCCTGCTTTGATGAGAAACATAGGTTTTCAACAAAGAGTGAAAATTGTAACTCAAGCTGAAAAGGGTTCGACTGGTTTCCAAACCAGACAGGATTTCTTCTTTAAGCCAAAAGACAAAAAGAATCATCATTATTTTCTGCAGAAATCTCAGTTGGAGACATCCTTCAAGAGAACGCCCACGTCTGAAAACAGTTTACAGTTTTACCAAGCCACCTTCTTAGAGGTGATTAGTTGTCATTTATGTCTTTTTTTTTACTTACAGTATAATTACATGACTCATTTGTAACATTATGCTTGTAACTACACCTACACACCACAAACACAGCCTAAACAATGTAGGTCAAAGAACTGCTGACAGCTGGATTCTGGTAATAAATCAGCATAACTCCAAAGGCAAACAAACTGATAACATCTTCTCACCGCACAAGCATTGTATGAGTAAAGACCAGACAAACTGCAAAACGGCTTTTCTGGACCAAAAAGAGACCAGGTTTTCTCMGCTGGAGGTGTACCTGATAGATAGCCCCTGCTTTACTGAAGTGTCCCAGAAACAACAACCTCACAGAGTCAGATAAAATCAACTTCTGGGTGGGACTGAAAAACATGACAAAGTGGTGTTTCCACTGTTTGCTCGAGACTGTTGATGACAATTGTTAAAGTTTTTAACCCTAAAAAATAGTCCGAAATTTCACATTTTTTTTTAGAACTGACATGTTTAAACAAAATCCTTTTTATTTATTTTTTTTGCCACATCACTTTATTTATGTATCAAATCTGATACACTGGGCTGTTTTGGCAACATTTTGCTCACAAAAAAGTTAAATTACGAAACAAAAGAGAGTTTTGCCCATAACTTTTAACAAGTTTAGAACACTCTAGGAAGTTTACTTCTTTGTTTTTTTTTACAATGAACTTTTACAGCCATTTATTTCACTTGGTGGTAGGCAAAAAAACAGTTTCTGTCCTTGTTCAGGCACAGTTGTACCTTACACTTTATAAAAAATACCATCTATTATCATATTGATAACATTCTCTTACTTTCTTTTTTCTCTTCTTCCTCAATTTTCTTTGACATCTAACATGTAAATAGTCAGTACAGCGTAGAGATCATAATTTCAAAGGAAACCACTTTGAAAATAGCCAAAATGTGTTTTCAAATAACATTTCAATAATTAATCAATCATCCAAAATAGTGTGTTGTATTGTGGCAAGAACCTTTTAACTGTACTATTAAAAAAATTAAGTAATTAGGCATTGTTTCAACACAAAAAG